CAAAATGATTATACCGGAATGAAAAGTCAATAAATAAACATGTTGTTAAAACTTTTTTTTTTTTTTTTTCGCGCAAAGAGTCCTCTGCTGCTGATGTTCAGGTGTATATCAGTATGTAGTGTCTCTAATTTAAAGAGTCCTCTCCTGCTGATGTTCAGGTGTATATCAGTATGTAGTGTCTCTAATTTAAAGAGTCCTCTCCTGCTGATGTTCAGGTGTATATCAGTATGTAGTGTCTCTAATTTAAAGAGTCCTCTCCTGCTGATGTTCAGGTGTATATCAGTATGTAGTGTCTCTAATTTAAAGAGTCCTCTGCTGCTGATGTTCAGGTGTATATCAGTATGTAGTGTATCTACTTTAAAGAGTCCTCTCCTGCTGATGTTCAGGTGTATATCAGTATGTAGTGTCTCTACTTTAAAGAGTCCTCTCCTGCTGATGTTCAGGTGTATATCAGTATGTAGTGTCTCTACTTTAAAGAGTCCTCTCCTGCTGATGTTCAGGTGTATATCAGTATGTAGTGTCTCTACTTTAAAGAGTCCTCTCCTGCTGATGTTCAGGTGTATATCAGTATGTAGTGTCTCTACTTTAAAGAGTCCTCTCCTGCTGATGTTCAGGTGTATATCAGTATGTAGTGTCTCTACTTTAAAGAGTCCTCTCCTTCTGATGTTCAGGTGTATATCAGTATGTAGGTGTCTCTACTTTAAAGAGTCCTCTCCTGCTGATGTTCAGGTGTATATCAGTATGTAGTGTCTCTACTTTAAAGAGTCCTCTCCTGATGATGTTCAGGTGTATATCAGTATGTAGTGTCTCTACTTTAAAGAGTCCTCTCCTGCTGATGTTCAGGTGTATATCAGTATGTAGTGTCTCTACTTTAAAAAGTCCTCTCCTGATGATGTTCAGGTGTATATCAGTATGTAGTGTCTCTACTTTAAAGAGTCCTCTCCTGCTGATGTTCAGGTGTATATTAGTGTGTAGTATCTCTACTTTAAAGAGTCCTCTCCTGCTGATGTTCAGGTGTATATCAGTATGTAGTGTATCTACTTTAAAGAGTCCTCTCCTGCTGATGTTCAGGTGTATATCAGTATGTAGTGTCTCTACTTTAAAGAGTCCTCTCCTGCTGATGTTCAGGTGTATATCAGTATGTAGTGTCTCTACTTTAAAGAGTCCTCTCCTGCTGATGTTCAGGTGTATATCAGTATGTAGTGTCTCTACTTTAAAGAGTCCTCTCCTGCTGATGTTCAGGTGTATATCAGTATGTAGTGTCTCTACTTTAAAGAGTCCTCTCCTTCTGATGTTCAGGTGTATATCAGTATGTAGTGTCTCTACTTTAAAGAGTCCTCTCCTGCTGATGTTCAGGTGTATATCAGTATGTAGTGTCTCTACTTTAAAGAGTCCTCTCCTGATGATGTTCAGGTGTATATCAGTATGTAGTGTCTCTACTTTAAAGAGTCCTCTCCTGCTGATGTTCAGGTGTATATCAGTATGTAGTGTCTCTACTTTAAAAAGTCCTCTCCTGATGATGTTCAGGTGTATATCAGTATGTAGTGTCTCTACTTTAAAGAGTCCTCTCCTGCTGATGTTCAGGTGTATATTAGTGTGTAGTATCTCTACTTTAAAGAGTCCTCTCCTGCTGATGTTCAGGTGTATATCAGTATGTAGTGTCTCTACTTTAAAGAGTCCTCTCCTGCTGATGTTCAGGTGTGTATCAGTATGTAGTGTCTCTACTTTAAAGAGTCCTCTCCTGATGATGTTCAGGTGTATATCAGTATGTAGTGTCTATACTTTAAAGAGTCCTCTCCTGCTGATGTTCAGGTGTATATCAGTATGTAGTGTCTCTACTTTAAAGAGTCCTTTCCTGCTGATGTTCAGGTGTATATCAGTATGTAGTGTCTCTACTTTAAAGAGTCCTCTCCTGCTGATGTCCAGGTGTATATCAGTATGTAGTGTCTCTACTTTAAAGAGTCCTCTCCTGCTGATGTTCAGGTGTATATCAGTATGTAGTGTCTCTACTTTAAAGAGTCCTCTCCTGCTGATGTTCAGGTGTATATCAGTATGTAGTGTCTCTACTTTAAAGAGTCCCTCTCCTGCTGATGTTCAGGTGTATATCAGTATGTAGTGTCTCTACTTTAAAGAGTCCTCTCCTGCTGATGTTCAGGTGTATATCAGTATGTAGTGTCTCTACTTTAAAGAGTCCTCTCCTGCTGATGTTCAGGTGTATATCAGTATGTAGTGTCTCTACTTTAAAGAATCCTCTCCTGCTGATGTTCAGGTGTATATCATATGTAGTGTCTCTACTTTAAAGAGTCCTCTCCTGATGATGTTCAGGTGTATATCAGTATGTAGTGTCTCTACTTTAAAGAGTCCTCTCCTGCTGATGTTCAGGTGTATATCAGTATGTAGTGTCTCTACTTTAAAGAGTCCTCTCCTGCTGATGTTCAGGTGTATATCAGTATGTAGTGTCTCTACTTTAAAGAGTCCTCTCCTGCTGATGTTCAGGTGTATATCAGTATGTAGTGTCTCTACTTTAAAGAGTCCTCTCCTGATGATGTTCAGGTGTATATCAGTATGTAGCGTCTCTACTTTAAAGAGTCCTCTCCTGCTGATGTTCAGGTGTATATCATATGTAGTGTCTCTACTTTAAAGAGTCCTCTCCTGCTGATGTTCAGGTGTATATCAGTATGTAGTGTCTCTACTTTAAAGAGTCCTCTCCTGCTGATGTTCAGGTGTATATCAGTATGTAGTGTCTCTACTTTAAAGAGTCCTCTCCTGCTGATGTTCAGGTGTATATCAGTATGTAGTGTCTCTACTTTAAAGAGTCCTCTCCTGCTGATGTTCAGGTGTATATCAGTATGTAGTGTCTCTACTTTAAAGAGTCCTCTCCTGCTGATGTTCAGGTGTATATCAGTATGTAGTGTCTCTACTTTAAAGAGTCCTCTCCTGCTGATGTTCAGCTGTATATCAGTATGTAGTGTATCTACTTTAAAGAATCCTCTCCTGCTGATGTTCAGGTGTATATCAGTATGTAGTGTCTCTACTTTAAAGAGTCCTCTCCTGATGATGTTCAGGTGTATATCAGTATGTAGTGTCTCTACTTTAAAGAGTCCTCTCCTGCTGATGTTCAGGTGTATATCAGTATGTAGTGTCTCTACTTTAAAGAGTCCTCTCCTGCTGATGTTCAGGTGTATATCAGTATGTAGTGTTTCTACTTTAAAGAGTCCTCTCCTGCTGATGTTCAGGTGTATATCAGTATGTAGTGTCTCTACTTTAAAGAGTCCTCTCCTGCTGATGTTCAGGTGTATATCAGTATGTAGTGTCTCTACTTTAAAGAGTCCTCTCCTGCTGATGTTCAGGTGTATATCAGTATGTAGTGTCTCTACTTTAAAGAGTCCTCTCCTGCTGATGTTCAGGTGTATATCAGTATGTAGTGTCTCTACTTTAAAGAGTCCTCTCCTGCTAATGTTCAGGTGTATATCAGTATGTAGTGTCTCTACTTTAAAGAGTCCTCTCCTGCTGATGTTCAGGTGTATATCAGTATGTAGTGTCTCTACTTTAAAGAGTCCTCTCCTGCTGATGTTCAGGTGTATATCAGTATGTAGTGTCTCTACTTTAAGAGTCCTCTCCTGATGATGTTCAGGTGTATATCAGTATGTAGCGTCTCTACTTTAAAGAGTCCTCTCCTGCTGATGTTCAGGTGTATATCATATGTAGTGTCTCTACTTTAAAAGAGTCCTCTCCTGCTGATGTTCAGGTGTATATCAGTATGTAGTGTCTCTACTTTAAAGAGTCCTCTCCTGCTGATGTTCAGGTGTATATCAGTATGTAGTGTCTCTACTTTAAAGAGTCCTCTCCTGCTGATGTTCAGGTGTATACCAGTATGTAGTGTCTCTACTTTAAAGAGTCCTCTCCTGCTGATGTTCAGGTGTATATTAGTATGTAGTGTCTCTACTTTAAAGAGGTCCTCTCCTGCTGATGTTCAGGTGTATATCAGTATGTAGTGTCTCTACTTTAAAGAGTCCTCTCCTGCTGATGTTCAGGTGTATATCAGTATGTAGTGTCTCTACTTTAAAGAGTCCTCTCCTGCTGATGTTCAGGTGTATATCAGTATGTAGTGTCTCTACTTTAAAGAGTCCTCTCCTGCTGATGTTCAGCTGTATATCAGTATGTAGTGTATCTACTTTAAAGAATCCTCTCCTGCTGATGTTCAGGTGTATATCAGTATGTAGTGTCTCTACTTTAAAGAGTGCTCTCCTGATGATGTTCAGGTGTATATCAGTATGTAGTGTCTCTACTTTAAAGAGTCCTCTCCTGCTGATGTTCAGGTGTATATCAGTATGTAGTGTCTCTACTTTAAAGAGTCCTCTCCTGCTGATGTTCAGGTGTATATCAGTATGTAGTGTTTCTACTTTAAAGAGTCCTCTCCTGCTGATGTTCAGGTGTATATCAGTATGTAGTGTCTCTACTTTAAAGAGTCCTCTCCTGCTGATGTTCAGGTGTATATCAGTATGTAGTGTCTCTACTTTAAAGAGTCCTCTCCTGCTGATGTTCAGGTGTATATCAGTATGTAGTGTCTCTACTTTAAAGAGTCCTCTCCTGCTGAGTTGAATTATACTTAAAGTTCACGGTAATCAACTGTTAAAAACATACTGTTCAATATTTTCAACGTAAATGGATAATCGTTTTAATAATCGTGATATAAATTATTGACCCAAATAATCGAGATTATGATTTTTGCCATAATCGAGCAGCCCTACTATACAGGCATTTTAGCCTTTGCAGACCATTGACATGCACAGAAACCTATATAACATACTACAGGAGAGGGACCACATCAAAAAGCATAATAATCTTTAAGACAAAAACAGCGCACTCTAGATTAATTACAATATATGTCACAACTACAAATATCTGACTCTTTGATTTGACTCCTTTGTGTCTAAAGGACATGAATGTATGACCTTGTAAGTTATCTTTTCATTTATATATCATTTTATTTTTCTCAGAGCGAGGCTGCGTCAGGAAGCGTGAGAGACGTGCAGCGGGATCACAGGAGGTATGTGTACATCGTTCTTTATTTAATTATGGTTCTGTCGCCGTCTTTCCAACAACGGCAGACTAAACTTGGAGTGCGTCAGCGCACACATACAAGTGAGGCATCGCATGGAAAACTCTGCTCAACAGGGAACGACTAAACTGGACTCAATTAGATTAATCCTTTGTTTTGACCATCCTCTTGGAAAGAAACCAGTATAGAAACCAGGTCGCTGGAGGTAAAGTTGAGTGATGTTAAAGCGGGTATAGGCTGACAAACACATCCCGTTCACTGCCAACACGTACAATTTAAAGTACATCGTTTTATGTGAACCATCATTTTGATTTATTGTATTTGGACAGGGTGAACACAGCCTTCCTGGACACACTGGAGGGTCGAGGCAAGGAGACAAAGGAGGAAACAAAGAGTCCCTTCTCAGCTTCTGAAGACTTGAATTACCCGTCTCACCTGAACCCAGAGCCAGAGCACAGCTACTTGGAGTGGAGCGAGGAAGCTGGTGAGCGTCTCTCCACCGTTTCCTGTTTCTCACGCCTTATTTTAGCCCCAGCTGGTTAACCAAACCTAAATCAGACATGTGACAAGAGTTGCCCACCTCATCCTTTCCTCAGAGGGACTGTGATTGTGTGTTTAGTCTGCGTTAAATCAAAGGCTCTACTACGTGCTGCAAATTAAAGATATGTAGACAGGAAGTAATGTGTAGTGCTACTGACGCTCCGGGCATTCAAATCCTGCTGATAGTTGAAGTTTGTGGGAAATGTGTGTGTGAAAATAATGAGTAAGAAGAAAAACATGCGAGTAAAAGCACAAACGTTAAGCTAATTTGGGAACACACACACACACACACTATGTAATTATCTCCTGTCAGTCAGAGGAATATTCTCTGGAAAGACGTCTGACAGACTCTCGGCGGGCGGCCAAATGAAAGCAGTCCCTCCCGTCTGTAATCATCTCAGATTGAGATTGAGTCGAATACCTGAAGGGATGCCGTGCACCTAGGAAACCTGCCACTATCATCGCCTGCTGCACTTAAGCACTTAATGCTGCCGTACGTGTGCATGCTACATGTTCTGTTATTTTGTTTGAACTTTTCCAATATGATCCAGTTTACTATATGCATATATTCCACACTCTTAAAACAGATGGTTCCACACTCCTAATCAGTTCCATATGTTTAGACGCTTTAAAATGCTCTTTAAGGTCACAGAAAGGTTCTCCATTTAATTAAATACAGTTTATATAAAAATGAATATACCCTAATTGAAGAAGAAGATTCAACTTATTGTCATTGTCAACGAAACGGTTTCTCTGCATTTGACCCATCCTAGTGTTAGGAGCAGTGGGCTGCCATTATGTACGGCACCCGGGGGTGTTTCTCAATGTTGAGTACGCTTGCTTGGTAGCACATGTCTTCCGAGCGTCTTGCTTCAGAAGCGAGGCAAGAATACTTCCTGGCATTCGGAGAACGAAGAGTGGAACAGGCGAGCAAGTGTGCAGCAAGTGTCATATGAGAGGCCCCGCCTTAAATTTTCCGCCACAGATTTGGGGAAATTGGTCCGTGCGCAAAGCATTGTGGGGATTTTAAGACCGCGGAGTCTACACATGTGCAGCCTCGAAATGTCTCGCTATGCCGGTAGAATTCCAAGTATGCTGGACATTGGAACAGTCCTTCGGCGGCACTCGATGACGTAGTATGCTTGAAATAGTGGCTCCAGAGCAGCCTTCCTCGACATTGAGAAACACCCATGGTCTTTCCGGGACTTGAACTGGTGACCTTCCAGTTGCAGAGCCAAGTCCCTATGGACGTCGCCACCACCGCTAATAATATATTGAACACTCTCGTCATAAAAAAAAAACATAGAAAATATATTTGAAATCCCTTCGAACGCATGAATTGGCTACATGCAAATAAAGAAGTCATAATTAATAAAGGATTTGCAAAATATAAAAATAACGACTCGAGGGCGTTTAGATAAGATAATATGAGATGTACTTTATTGATCCCATTTTGGGACATGTTTGTGTTGCAGCAGCATAAAAAACAAGGTATTGCACATAAGTAGAAATTAAAAGAGTATAAATAAACAATTCTAAAATGTAAACATCTCAAATAAAAATAAAACAGCATGAAAAAAGTGGAAAATATACAAGTTGACCGTTAGCTTTAACTAACTTCTATCTTGTCCTTTAACACAGTTATAGGTATTATTTAAAATGCATATCAGTCATGGCGCTGCTGCTACGGGCACCATTTTGGAAAACCACAACATTCCCAATCCGGGGTAAAGTACACATGCAAGCCTCTTAAAGTAACATTGGAACCAAAAGGTTAAAGGGGGGGAAAGCTTGCTTAACAGATCATGTGTGAAATAAGATTGCACCAGCTCATCTACAAAAATAATGAAGTATATGTCCAAATGATGTGCATGAGAATGAGAGAGGACTCTGTACCTTATATCACACAGAACCGTCTTTAACAGGGGGAACATTAATGGACACACTTGTCTGTTTTGTGTCCCGCGTGCTTTCAGAGCCTGATTTGAAGAGACTGATGGAGAGCTTTCCAGGATACAGCTCTGACTTCCTGGAGGACATATTGGTTCAGTGCAACAGGGACTGTGAGCAGGCC